GTTCGTTTCAAATGATTTTCTATTTGCCGAAACTCTTCCTCCTTTAATAGATCGTCTGATAAAATTTCTTATAAAAGGATTAGTGTGCGAATAAACTTTTTCTACGTTTTCTTTTTCGGTATGTTTCGCAACCATTCTAGTAGTTTCATACCATTCTTCTTCCACCATTTCTTTATCGTAATGATATAAATAATACCAACCCTTTAAAGATAAAGATGGTGCCGTTAGATTATTGGACATATTCTGGTTTACAACTTCTTTCGTGACTTGGTTGTATTTTATCAAACAAGCTCCCAAACAGAGAGTGTCTCTTTTGGCGTAAGGTCCCCATTCGTGTCTCAATTCCTCCCAGTTGTCTTGCGTGTATTTAGCGATATCTACGTCGGCAATCTTTCTCAAATTCGCGGGAAGATTGGAAGAATTTCCCCATGCAGCCAAACTAGAGGATTCGTGTTGGTAGGAACACGTGAAATTAATATGTTGTAAATAATTACCCTTTATTTCTTTCTGTCTTTTCCATTTTTTCTGTAAATCTTCATCCGTGTATGGATTAGATAAAGGAAAAAATCCAGTTTTCGAATCCACTACCGTTATGAGAAATTAATATTAAACTCTTTCTATCATATTGACATAACTATTTCAACATTTGATCTATACAATCTGTACCTACAAATAGTTCTACTACATTCATTAGTTTATCATAAAATTCTTCTGGAATATTATCAGTAGGATTTATATTTGGAAAGATATTTTTTATCGTTTCTAACTTTTTTCTTAGTTTTTCTAAATTAATTAAAGTGCTCTTCGCGTGTCTTTTTCTGAATACGTTTCGCAATCGAAGCGAATAACGCATCATCACTCATACTTGAAAGCACGTTTAGTTTGAGAGGTGAAACCTGTGTTACTGCGTTATCGTCTCTACACGTTTTCCACACCTGTTCGTAATTGTCTTCTATTTCTTGAATTCCCAAACTTTTTTGGCTTCTTCTAATCAGACAGAAATGCGAGTTGTGTAAGTAAAAAACCCAATCTAATTCATCGTGAACGTCTCTGGGATGAAAATGTCTGTTTTTGGGATTATAAATTTGAAACGAAGTGTTGAATTTCTTGTTGAATTCCTTCATTCTAGCACAAGTCATCACTCCTTTTCTATTTGCTTTTGAAAACCCGTTGATGTATTCTTGAAATTCTCTCGTGTAGTATTCGTTTAAAACACGATTGACGATTTGATGAAACAGTGACCATCTGTAGGTATGTAACAATTTTCGCCTTCGTATTCATTTATCTTTTTAAGTAGATCAGTTCCTTCTCTACCAACTCTCGATCTTTTTATTTCTTGGAAATTGTCTTTCATTAAAATTATTTTTCCTGTAAAATACCAAGCATCGGATTTTTTGTCCATATTTGAAAAGATATTGTGAAAAGTTTTTGCATTGAAACCGAGGAGTGACATGTATTGTCTGTGATTCCCTTCCTCGACTATCTCTCCATCTATTTTAATTTGTCCTTTGAATGTTTTAAATTTATCAGAGATAGCCTTGATAACATCGGAAAATAGGGCGTTTTCTATCAATGTTTCATCGTCTGCAAGTTCGATTTTATTCATATTTTTTTAAGTATATATTTTTTATATTTCTTTATTTTGACCGCTAATATTTCTGTATGGAATTTATCCAAAATTTCATTGAATTCTTGTAATTCTTCAACTGTTATGTTCTTGTCTTCTCTCGATCTTTCGAAAAAGATGTACAATTGATTAAGATACATATTCAAGATATCCGTTTTCTTTTTATAATGAGCTTTCTTTTTGCTCGTGAAACCTAAAGTGATGAGACCGCAAAAGGTCGTTTGAACGGCTGTTAATGCAGCCAATACGGTTGGGACGATGACCGGAAGCATTAATCCACCAGTCACGGCCGTTGCCACCGTTACTCCTACCGTTAGAACTGTGCTAGCTGTTTTGAAAACAGAATCGATTCTACTCCATGTTTTCCTGCATGTATTGCACTGTCTCAACTTTATTTTCAACTCTTCTTGTTTGTCTATCATGTATTATTGTCTGCTTTCGAGTTCCATTTTTTAAGTCGTTAAATTAAGTGAATTTCCGATAAATGGAACCACGGAATATCGTATAGAGCGCGCTTGTTTGGCCTAGCATTATTATATTTGCGGGTATTAAAAGTAAAAACATTTACGCGTACTAACGACATTTCTTTTTTCGTATGGTCCTCTTTAAGATGATAGGAATACGTTTTTAGGTTCTCCGTATGCGAGAGTACCTACTTTTATTTCTGCTTTGAATCGGTATTTGTTTGATTTATAAATTTGGTCTTTTTCATCGAAGACAGTGTCACTTTCGAATGGATGATTGAAATAATACGATTTGTCCGTGACAATAGCTTCTAATTTGGTCAACTTTCTCTCTTGTCTCAAAAAATCGTCATGAATTCTAGATACCAAAAGATTGACCTGTTCTTTAATATAATTTTTCATATCATCTCGAAATTTATTTTGAAGAAAGTTTTTAATCACACCCACTTCTTTTTCTAATTCGTCCGTGATTTTAGTATCCAAAGCAGTCAATTGTCGTTTCAACGTATCTTTGTCAATGGGAAGTGTGTTAATTATATCTTGAACATCTGATTTTTGCTTCGCAATCTTTTCGTTCAAATTGGATATCGAATTTTGTAACTCGGTTTTGTCCGCGGTCTTGTCTAGTTCTGCTAGCAATTCGCCAAGATTTCTTTCCAAAGCGGTTAGTTTTCGTTTCAATCTATCCTCGTTTACATTTGGGTTGTCTATTAAACGTTGGACGTCTATTTTACCTTTGTAATCTTATCGTCTAATTTAGATATTAAATTTTGCAACTTACTTGTTTTATCCACTTGAATAAGACGTTTCAAGTTCGTTAACTCTTGTTGTAGTTTGGGTTCGTCCACAAGATTTTTAATATCTGAGGTATCTTTTCACGTCATTTATTCTATTTTCAACATGGTCCTTATCTATTTGAATTGCGTTTATTTGATCCAGTAAATATTTCTTGTTCACGGCATCGTTATCGTTTCCTGGAAACTTTAAATTAGTTATTTTGAAATTGTTCATATCGATATCCCCTTGTAAGGTGTCTCCGATTTGATCCACGAAAAAAGGTTTCGCTTTGTTTATAAACGTCGTCATGGGATTTTTGGATTCTAGAGGTAAAGACCCTAATCCAAACTTGTTTGCCATTTTTATTGAGTTAAATTTATTATAATTTCTTCAAACTTTTCTCCCAAACTCAACCGATATAAAACCCAAAGCGACAGCTGTCCACACAGCTTTTGTCCTGGCATTTGAATTTGAAACGTAGAACATTTGATTGGTTTGCTAGTCAATTTCGTAATCTCTTCTGTCGGTTCTAGACCGAAAGAATCAAAGAAATAAAAGTTATTCGAAGAATCTTTGTGTAGAGCAGAGTGATGAACTCCTTTTTGATCCGACGTGTGAATGTTTGTAATGGCGTAAAATTTACCTTTCTTGTATTTCAATTCATCAATTTCATCTCGCATGCAATAATAAAACGGCGAGACGTTCAATTCCTTAGCCCATTTCACAAGTTGAAAGTTTGTGGTTGTATCTTTTCCGTATTTATCGAGAAATGCATTCAGTTTTTAAGTTGATTTTTTTAGGTGTTTTTCGAAGTAGGCGGTAAGTATTGCTGAAGACCCAATTGACGAAATATATACGTAGTTTGTGTTTGAAAAAACTTGTATAACATTCTGATAAAACACATTCCATAATATTTTGAAGATAATTTACATTTAAATTTAAAAAATCTTAATTTAAGAGAGCGTAAATGCTTGTCGACATCTAAATTTCTTAACCTTTCATCTAAATCTTCATTTTCGAGATTCATTTTTAAAAGTCAGTTTTTTGAAGGTCATTTTGATAAAACCTTCCTATGATTTGTTCTTTGTTTTGATCGATCAATTCATACGTGGGAGGTGATGTGTTGTTTACTTTATCAACGATGAATATCTCGTTAGTCCAATAGCCGACGTAACCTTTCTGAAACAATGATTTATATTTAAAAATACGAACCCGATCTCCAACTTTGAATTTGGGTTTAGTATTCAAATTGTTAATCTCGTTTTCAAAGTTGTTTCGAGTGTTGACGGACTTTATGATATTCGGGTTATTAGAGGCTTGCGATGGCGTCACACCTATAGACGAATGTATTTTGTTATTGTATTCGTCGACAACAACTGGTAATATTTTAAGCCATTTTTGAGATTTCAATTCCGTGAATTTCTTGAATAATTTGCTTTTAAGAGTCCTGTTGAATCTTTATATCACTACGGCTTTACCTTCGTTATGCGTGCTGTAAATTTCAAACCCCAGAGATTTCACATTTCTGTTGTAGAATTCGCTTCCTTTATCAACCCACAACTTTAGGGGTCGTCTGTCGGATTGTTTCATTATGGTTTCGAATGCTTGTTTGACAGTCAGACCCGATTTGTTTTTCAAGGGAAAGACCCAAGCGTATCTCGTGTATATGTCGATCACCGTCAAACAATACTTGTACCCTCTCTCGACTGGTATGTTGATTAAATCGGCTGACCAAATTTCATCTTTATCAAAAACTTTGATTTTGAGGTAATGTTTGTTTTTTCGAAATTCTTTGTGAATCTCGTCTGCTATGCCCATACCCAATTTCAATTTTGCCTTCAAGAGTTTTATGATAAGAGCCCTTTGTAATTTCTCTTTGAAAGTGGGATTGGGAATATTTTCGAGTTCGTCTATCATTTGTTTGTCTGCTTGGTGTCTGAATGTTACGTCTTTGTTTCTGTACAGTATGTCGTATTTGAGCGCTGCTGCGTCAACTCTATTAACGGGTTCTTCCCCTGGTTTGGGATTATCATTTTCGTCTAAACGCAGATCTAATCTCGTGCCTGGACCTGTATAATTGTGCCCTGGGAGATGTTTTTCTCCGGGATATTTTGCCCATGGGAATACAGGAAGAGAACCCAATGACTTTTGAATGTCTCCCGCACCGAAATACGTTTTAGGAGGATGGACATTTATTAAAGACATATTTGTTCAATAATGAAATAAACACTATATATTTTTAATACGAAAGATTTAATACAAGGAGGAAATTTGTTGTTTGAGACAAAATTGGCCACTTTGGGGATGAGAGAAGAAACCGTCTCCTTCGAATTTTTTTTTTCGTGTTTTAAAATTAAAGACATTTTTAATGCGGTTATTTTATACTGTATTATTATTAGTGATTCTTGTCTGTGGTTTTGGGTAATTTATAATACAGTTTGGAGGAATCTGTTATGATATATTTTTTTAACAGTTTGGGAAGTCTGTTATAATACATTTTTTAACAGTTTGGGGAAGTCTGTTATAATACATTTTAACAGTTGTGTCTTTTCGGATATGACGCATTGAAAAAGCTGCGCAGAAGTGAAATGCGTCATATCCGAAAAGACATATACCTCCCATCTCAAAAACCGGATCAAACTGGATGCGCTATATCAGAAAACACATATACTACTGACGTTTAATTTGAGTCTTTCATTTTGTATTTATTTATTTTTTATAAATGTCATACAATGTTATCTAAAATACCTTTCAATATGGTAAAATAATCGTACTAAAAAGTCTAAAATATGAAAGTTATAATGATAGAGAAAAAAAGCTTCAAATTGGCAGATAGGGCAGGAACCGTTTTATGCCCCCTAGAAAACTGTGCCTTATGTACAATTCAATTTAAAGGGTCAATTGCGCCATTTTGGAGATTGATTTGAGTCTTGAACATATGTAAATACTCTTTCAGGAGTAATAGAAGTGTATGAAAATCGCATAATTCCTTCAAATATATCTCAAACTTGGAAATTCATTTCCTATTTTCATGAAAAGACGACTCAATTCTGGACACACATGGATTTGAGGTCTCAAATTTCGACGATGACTTATGAACACTATTAGTGATCAGCTTAGCTGATTTAGCTCGGCTCATTTCCGTTCCTGAGACTAAGCTTCTTGGGACAATTTGTCAAATGAATGTCCCTTTAAGTTTCAAACGTTACTTAACGATTGACTTTTACGTGCAACGAGACATGGAAACATACACTGCCGGTCGACTCTATTCATACACACTGCGAAATTTATGGCTGAACATGGATGTATAAAACATGGAACAATTTAGTTTCTGGATTGACGATTGATGTGATAGAAGGAAATTAAATATAAACCAAGAACTGAAAAGTATAAAAGGACACGTGTGGCATTTTTGGGTTGATTGGAAAGTTGAACGTCTTGTTGATAATGTCCCTGATACTAAGACATCTTCCGTTTCAACTGGGCGTAGACGAAGTGGGACAGCATGACTGAACCTACTGTATACATATGACGTCATCAACGAATATTCAAAATTAAAAAAAACTCTAAATTGTCGACTCGATAATGCCTCAGACCCACTGGAAATTTATGATTCGGCGATGATCTGCGACATGGAAATGTGGAAAAGTTATGCGATGCCTTGCGGTGGATGGCGACAAAATTTTGGAAAAGGTGGAACAGCCCCATCAAATTTGCAACCGAGACGCCCCCTCCGCAAGGTGGAGGTCAAGCATGTAATTTGGGGCACGTGACAGGGCCCCTTAAAATTAAATATTTTATATCCATAGTTAAACCGGAAGTTAACATCGTACAGCAGAAATGAGTATATCACTGGACAATCAAGGGCAATAAATTTTGTAAAGTCAAAGGTCACATTCACGAGATTTGTCTCTTAAAATCTTTTACAATTACTGAAAAGAAATATAAAACGAACAAAACAAAATTTCAAAAATCCACACGAATACGTTTTAGTGCAATCGATTGTAGTGTCCAGAGATACCAAAATCACGCAAATTATATTTAAAGTTCGGTTTCCTTATTTTCATTTTTTTTATATATATATTCCATTATTGGACGGCTAATACTTATATAAATAGAAAGAAGAGGTGCTCTAATGAATGGGGAAAATACCAATTTGTCTCAAAAGTAATAATTAACTCCTGATCAGCGAATTACAAAAGGTCCGCTTAATATTAGGCGACAATTCTGCGATCTTCTCCGATACTCTGCGATGGATCTGCTGACTATGACCAAGATTGGTCGGCGAGAGTCGGCGATGGGCGGTGATTTTTGCCGATGTATCGGAAAATATTCAGAGATGTTTTGCGATGGTTCGCAGAATCTTCTCAACTCTTTGGCGATCATCCGCTAACCATCGCAGAGGCACCGCGTCTAACGTAGCCGAATATCCCCTGATATTTTGGCGACGTGTGTGTATGGGGAGAATAACTTGAGTTGTTTGGCCATCCTTAGAATGGAAGAACAGGCATTAGATTTGTATAGGGAAGACATATAAGACCAGCAAGAGTTAGAAGCTGTCCTATTCCTGTTATTGGTGTGTTTGAGGAGAGAAATATCCATTGGGCGTTACTGGATCCTGGGTAGGTCATTCTCAGTGGCTCAACTACCACAGGGACTGGTTGAACCCTAAGGGGGTCACCGGCCCAAGATAAAATTGCAGGGCGCTTATTATAAAACAATTTCCCCGGAAAGTTGTCCCAACCCACTCATCTAGTTGAGCAGCTGGTCTATTATTTGGCGGGGAGGCAAGCAAGCCAAAATGTTTAGAAAACATTTATAAATTGTCACTAATGGTTATACAACATTTTAAAAATATTTCGAAAACGTTTTGTGTTTACTGGATCCTAACTGATCACAAATTCAAACTGCAACACTCGAGCTCCAATGGGTGAATTCAAAGTTGGTGTTGGTGTTAGTGATAGGTGTCAGTGTTTGTTTTGGTGTTTATCCAGAGCTCGAAACACCATGTCAGGTGTTGACACCAAGTGTTAATACTGTTGTTAACACCCGTTTTTATTTAACACCAAGTGTTTGTGGGCGGTACACCAGGTCAAAGTCAGCAATGGTGTTAACAAACAACATGACTGCCAACATCAACTTTGAAATCAGTCTGGTGTTAAACAGTCTGGTTTATTTCAAGATCAATGGTGTGGTGTGCGAATGGATATAAGAATTGGTGTTGACTAATCAGATAGATACTTTATTAAGCAAAGTACATACATACTATAGCCATTTAACAAACAATTTAACGAAAGAACAATATGAACAATGTAAATAAATCGGGTTAAAGTCAATAAATACCAAAAATAACAATATATACAATTTATAAATTATATAAATCAAAACATTTACATAGAATAATAAGAAATCCCAAAAGGTTGGCAGCATTAGTGTGTTAATAGGTCTTCTCTGATTTTGAAAAGAAATTTACCCAAATTAAGTAGTTATAGATATAATAATATATTCATTTTAAAAATTGAAAGAAACGCCCAAAATCGACGATGAAATAAACGGCGGCGCAAGTCAATGTATAAAGGGCAACACAAAAGGAAATGATATTCGTCTTCGATATATTTGGATTTGCAACATAAACAATATCTCTTATTACGCGGAATTTTGGTATAACGACCCGTTTCGACACTTAGTTTCAGGTTACCACATCGAAATCGACAGATAAGAAATTTAAATTTATCAGCAATATTAGAGTCTAGATACGGTTCGAACTCAAAATTTAGTTTGTAGTTTTTGTAAAATCTTAACTTAATGGATTGCTCTAGAGAAGCAAACCATTCCTGGTGGTATTGATCTGTGATACGTGCCTTAATTGATAAAAAATTAAACAAATGTGGATTGCTAAAGACATATGAAGAACCAGCGTTGTTAAATATTGACTTAACATTGGATACCCAATTGACCTTCCCATTTATGTCGTCGAAGCAAAGTGCTTGATAAATAGACGTAATCAGTGGATTATCTGATTGGACTATCTTACTCCAAAATTTTATAATTCTAATCTTCCTAATAACTGATAATGGCAGTAGACATTAATCATCCAGTGTGACCAATCAAGCGACGTTTCACAAAGCAAAATCTACGTGGCAAGTAGCCTTTCGAATAATAAAGGACTTTTTGTCACGTACGTGGTAAATAGTCACTGCCATAAACGTTTTCAAAAAATGGTGTCTTTCCTATCAACAGCCAGTTCGTCCATTCTGTGTGGTCTGATTTGAGCAATCATATGACGTTTCACAATGCAAAATCAACAGATCGACGACGGCCCAGCGACGTGTAATAGATGGTACGGCAATACTTTGGCATTACGTTGTCGATATAACGACAAAGAAGTATGAGATTAAAATTTTGTCGCAAACGTTCCACTGCTATACTGGCAAATATTTGCCGATGTTCTGCGTATGTTCACAGATGTTTTTGCGTGCACTTTTGGCGACAAAATGTCGTGAATGCATAAGAGAACATAATTTATGTAGTTTTTCGGATCGGTTCAAGGGACTCGGCTCATTGAGTATGGTGCTTTCTCGCTAACCATGAAGTCATGGGTTTAATCCCATGTTATGACAGGATTATTAAGATTTTCGTTATGACTTAAAAAAAACCAAAGGCATTTATTAGAAAATCGATAGTTTGGTCACTATTTTGATTTTTATGAAATACGTCAAAATTTTATTCAGAGATAGCCGCTTTTCCGAATATGACGATTCTGGTGTCGAATGAAAGAACATAAATATTTAAGAAAAATGTGGAAAGTCGGTTGAATTTTGCGAAGTTTAATGGCGTATATCTGGTGACCTTGATCTTATGTTCCTGTTCTGTGTTCATATACGCAACTCAAAGAAGAAATACGAAAAAATCCAACTCGGAAATAGCTTGTGAGCCGCCATTTTGAGTTGGTTTTTCTTATTTTTCTTGGTCAAATCGTGCTTATTGTTTGATTAATTGGTGTTTCTAATGAATAATTCAAGTACTCGTTGGAGGTAAGATTGTACGAGGACGTAGAAAAGTTTTGGGATCAAATCGACTGAAACCCAATTAAAAAGCTAAAAATAGATTCCATGTTTACTCACTGACTAAAATAGATCTTGATAATCTAACACATTAAGTCACATCCCTTATGGAAAGTGTGAGACCGGATAATCTTTATCAAA